GTTCTCTCGAAATGAAAATAAGGCGGTCGTAAAGGGCAGTGGAGAGGCAGGGTTAACTGTGATATCCTGCAGGAGAAGATAATATTGAAGTGTCGGCAAGCGGTTTCGCACACCCCGGCCATTTCATCTTTGTGTTCGACACAATGGCCGGCAAGGGAGCATGGCACTTAAGGCTCAGAAGGGAAAGAAAGTAGGGGCAGAGGTGGCTAAAAGTCTTGGAAGTCAGAGAAGAGAAGGGAAAAAAATTTCCATGTTTCTCACAGAAACTTGAGCAATAATCCTGGAACACGGACACAGCTGCAGCCGGCAAAAAAGATGCAAAACCAACAACAAAATCCCCCTGGGTTTAGGAAACAGTGAGGAGCTAGACTAAAAACCAGACGCATTTCAGAATAAATTCAGTGTTTCGAAAGCAATGATGTGAAAGGCACGTGAGCCACAGTAATAAAATGTGATATGAGCCATTACCGTAAACAAGGAGGAATAATTGACAGGGAACTAAAACAGATCCGCAGAGCACGCATAGCCCAAGGCTCTGTAAACCTATGGCTGAACGAGAGGAAGAGGAGTGGCATGGGGAGAAGTCAGAAGGCGGCTAACAATAAATAAATAAATAAGGCAAAAGGCAAAAAATAGATAAATCACACAACAGCCTTTGGTCCCTGAGACTGAAAATTCAGCTCAAGTCGCTAAATAGTCCCGTGATGGATCAGCAGAAAGAACAGTCAGCATGTGGAAATAACAGAGATGGTCTCCCCCCCAGAATAAAGAAAAATAAATGTCTTCTGGGCTGAAGGAGAGAGTCAGGGGTCATGAAATGGTTAGCCAGTTTGTTTCATCCTTTGGACACACGTGCTATCACAAATGCATAGCTTAATCTGCAGGAGAAACTGGCCAGTTTGGGTGTGGAGGGGAGAAAAGCCGTGGCTGGGATCTGAGACACAGCACTACAGACAAAAGCTCTTCGGGAAATAGCCTGGTGTGCCGGTGGAGCAGCCAGGATGCGTGATAAATAGCACAGGGTGCAGAAAGCTGCAGCTGAGTAAAGGCTCTCCAGATTATCGGACAGGTTATTGCATCCTCCTGACACATACCATAGACACATGGTAGCATACACTCAGACACATATGTATGCAGGTACGTATATGTTTATAGACTTCAAAAAACACCTGAGAATAACTAGAGGTGGTGTTTCTAAACATGTGAACAGTTTAGCAGTAGAAAGCTGCTCCAACAGAGAAGGGAAGCACCCTCAGTGTTGGTATTTCAGAGTTCAGCACAGTGATGCTGCACAGCCTCTTTCATGGAAACCATATCCCCAAAATGCTCAGTGAGTTAAATAATACAGGCACTGCTTTAAATAATAAATAGTAGTGTACCAAATAAGGATGTTGAGACTGCAGGAAAGGAAAACCAGGGATGTTTTCAGTGGAGATTAGAAAAAGACGGAGGGGCAGATGGGCACTTGTGACTGACCCACTAGAAGAGAAGGCCCATGAAGCTGCTAGCTGATGTTAGGTAAGGAAAAAAAACTTCTAGTGGGAAGAGGGATCAAATTTTTGCTCGGTACCCCACAGCACACAGGGAGCCAGTTACAGCAAGGGGACATAGTCACGGTCCCTGGCGTGCACACAGATGGTTAGCAGCAATCCATGCTCACAGGCGTTAGAAAACCGAGGAAGTTTTTACAGCTGCTGTCTCTACAGCCACAGACAAGCTCACACAGCTGGATGATGGTGGTATCACTTATTCCCATCCCATTCGTATCTGTGATGTTTTCTCCCTCTGCTACTGTTACAGCACCCGCTGCTGCCATTTCTCAAGCAGACTCTGCAGAGGGGACTTGCAACCGTTTCCCTGCACCTTGCAAGCCACACAGTGTACACCTTAATTGGGACGCAGAATTTTCAGTGCTGCTTCTGAATAACTAAAATGTCTTTTCATACATGCGAAGAGAAGTGTGTCATCCTTTGATCATCACTACTTTGCCAGTAACCGTCCCCTACCTAATATATCAATGGCTATTGCAATGTCATTTCCTTGTATCCAGTGAATATTAGAAGAGACGGGCAGATAAAGAACGAGAATTGAAATGAAATTCTGAAGATAAAAACAAACTCCTGCCATTACAGCATATTCATGCCGTGTCATAAGCCAAGAGAAAATGTCTGGGCTTGTGTATGTCAGTCATTCTCCTTCCCTGCCTGCAACACACTGCTTAGAGAACCAGACTAAAGGAAAGCAAAACAAAGCCATTGATGTCCAGAGGAAAAAGAGCAGAAAAAAAGACTTCCCGCCTCACTAAACCTTGGGATTTGACACTTATGGTGCTTGATTCTCCGAAGAGGTCAATGAGAGGTAAGAGCTTTCATCACCTCAAAGAGTGCTTAGAGCTTTGTAGACTCAACCCTGTATGGCTTGACAGATATTTTGATTTGTTTTGCTGAAATATGTAGGACAGGCAGGTAGATCTCTCCTGCATGCTGTCTGTCTCTCGCTCTGTGTGCCTTAATTTTGTGGACATTTTAGAAAAACCTACTGCCGTGGTACATCTAAGCCAGTCCACTTCACATTGTGGGAAACAGCCCTGTCAGTCTGTTCAGAGCCCCATCAGAGGTAAAAGAAGTTTCCATAGACTTCAACAGGCTTTGGGTCAGATTCTGCAGAATACACCCAACACTGATTTTGCATTAAAAGCAGACACTTCTATATGCTAAGATTCAGCATTTTCAGAGAGGGTCAGCTACGCAAGAAAGAATGTACTCGTGGCATTTATATTTCCTTCCAATGACATACAAAGAAGCCAGGTAGTGCATACATGTATTTTCTTCAAGCTACCCATTTAAGTGAGGGGAAAAAAGAGAATGAGCAAAATTGTCCTTCCCATGTCATTATAAGCCATGGTGTGGTTAGGAACAGAAGTTCCATTGCTTTAACAGCAGATGTGAGAGTCTGGCACCCTTACAAAGTCAGATGACCGTCTGTGATGACTTGGAAGGAAAAAAAAAAGATTTCCCTGTTAAGCAACTTCCCTGTAAGAAAAAGATGTGCCAAAGGTAGCAATTTTTATCACAGTTTGATAACCCTAAATATTCAGCTCCATTAGTGTCTTGCATACTGCAGTGTGAGCATATGTAGGTGTCTCAACATCAGCATTTTAGTTTGGATTAGGCAAGCGCTTCTGATGAGACATTTCTGGTTGTCCCCTATCTCCTGCTTTTTCTTGCAATGTGGAGCAGCCATGGCGCGCATGAGCAGATTCCTTTCACGTGAAATGGAAGCCAAAGCCATGCTCCAGAAACACTCCTAGCACGATCCAGCTGCTAACGGTGATTCAGTCCATGGCTAACGGTGATTTAATCCATGGGTCCAAACCAGAGCTAGTCTGAACCAGCTCCCACCCCAAACACCAACTCTTTCACTCCACAGGTCTGCTCTGATGCTATTTTACTACTGGCTTATGAAAAAGTGCCATTACCTCAACTACCCCAAGTTTGCCCTTTGTGCACCTTTTTGTTTTAAATCAGAGAGCTGCTTATCTGCTAAGCAACAACCATTGGCACTGGCATCTTTGGCAGAGCCAAGATGATCTTCCTACCAGGAAAGTGTTTATTCTCATTTGGGAGTCCTGTGGGCATTGCTGGTCAGCCAAGTCTGTCTGTTAGTTTAAACCCCTTGACCCATCATTTCATGCTTTTCAGGTTGTTCTAGAAGTGGTCTTTTACTGAGATGAGATGCTTAGCGAGCTGGTTATGCAGATTCCGCCCTTCCCAAGGTAACTTCACAAAAACTGCAGTGCCAGAAGTAATGTGATATGACCTCGACTATCTAGCTGAGTGATTCCTGTGCAACAGATCAGATAATGAAATTCAAGTGTCTATCTACAATGTTTGCAAGCAGCTGCTTGAAAATAGCCCAGGTGGCTGTTTGAAAACAGTGCACGCAGGCAACAACCCGACGATTGCTATCGCAAGAGGTATCACAAACATATGTAGCTACATATGCCCCAGTTCAGTGGCTGCCCCGCACACCACCGAGAAGAAGAGAGAGAGACAAAGCTTAGAGGCAGTGATGGGCGCTCCGAATTACCGACCTGTGGTGCGATGCTCTTGCTGGTACTCTGCGGTCCTCTGGGAATTGAAGGGCTCATCAGCTGGGGAGCTCGTAAGGATGCACGTGCTGTGGGGTGAGACGACGCTGCTACTGCGTGCTGTGGAATTAAACTGTAGTAATTAAGATGCAAAGACACCCATTGCCCCTTTCTGAAAGGCTAGTGCTGGCCACCAGCTTTCGCAGGGGCTGCCTGAACAGAGTTTGTCTGGGCAAACAGCGGTCCAAGGTTTCAAAGAGTGGTGAATCCACTGCTCGCCTAATGAGCTGGTCTAATGGCCAGCTGCTCCCTGTTCAAAATCTTTTGTTCTTCCTACCTGGAACTTGTGTAGCATTGGTCTTAGCTATGCTATTTTACAAATCTAGCTTGGCTAGATGATAGAGGTATCTACTGCCAGAAATTGTTGCCCTTGCGTGTATTTATAGATCACAACCAAAGTCAGTTCTTGATCTTCTCTGGACTGAACTTGAAGCTCATGAAAACTACTTACTGAGCTCTTTCTCTTTGACAATTACTTGGACATCTATGAATCAGTCTTTAATCTCAACAGTGTAATACAGGCTACACTGATTTTTTTATTGCCTTTTTTTTTTTTTTAAACCAGAGGGACACATGAAACTGTCAAATAGACATCTCTGATTTCCAGCGATCTATAAAGATAACTTTAATCAGATAAATATGACATCTCATTTTTATAAGAGGTTTCATTGATTGCTTTTAAGAAAATAGGTTTCGGCATTGGCTGGCATTGACTGTGCTACCATTCATTAATGCTTTATTTGCCTCCTATATCTGCTTAGCCATAATTTTCCCTGCGACTAGCGTCAGACTAATTGGCCTTGGGAAATCCAGGTCATCTCAATACCATTTTTAAGTATGGATTCACAGTTTGAAGAGGCTGGCATGCTGCTGGCTAGCTTGTGATCAGCATGGCACCAGACATGCTGTACCAGCTGCATTGGTGCTCCGTCTATCTGTGGGAGAGACCAGACAGACATACAACCAAATCTTCTGTACATGCAGAGAAGCGGTGCCCATCATGATTTCTGAGGACAACTCTGGTTCATGCTGTTTAATCAACAGCGTAACTTCAGCACTTTTCTGGTCCTCCCTTGTCTTTCAAGATTTTTTACAAATCATTGTCAGTGATTCAGGAAGCTCCTCAGACACTTCTTTCAGTATTCTTGGTTGCAAATATTCTGTACTGCTACTGTATCTTGATATAATGGTTGCTATTTGACATCCTCCGTTGCTACCAATGAGAGACAAAGTATTCCTTCTTTCCTGTGAAGTAAGCACATCCCATTTCTTTCCAAATACAGAATATAAATATTCAACGAATATTTCTTCTTTTTGTGTATCACAGTTGGCAACTCTGCCTTCTTTAACACTGGACCTACAGGGGCTAACAAAGGGAAGAGACATTACTGAACTTGCTGACTGATGTATTTGCCAGAGAAAATGGGTGTGAAATGCCAAAAAACAAATTTAAGTATGAAATCTCAAGGCGGTTATAACCAACCAAATCACCAGGTTCTAAAGTGGTTTCTACACTCCCCTCCACCCCTTGGGATCTGGGGACAAAAAGAACTACTTTAAAATTAATATCGCTATTTCCATGAAGAGGATTATTTGGTATGGCACTACAGATAGCAGGAGGATTTGATGATCCAAGAGGTCCCTTTGAATCCTATTCTCCTGTATGATAGCAAGGATTTCATTAGGTCTCAGTATACTTAAATAATGCCTTCTTGCCCTTAATCCTTAAACCCAGGATTTTTTCATTAATGTTTTATCTTCCTCTATCAGCTGTCGCTTTCCTAGCTGGTGACTTGTTTGCACAGCTATCAGACTTCCTGTTATTGACATTTGTTATATATAATAAGGCTTGTAATGATCATTATTGGTTGCCACTTTCACTTCTTGTCTTTACTAAGATGGATTTGCGACAAAAAAGCCTCTCAAGGAACGACAGGTTGTGGGTTTGGGGGAATCTAATTAGGTTTTTTTCCAAAACAATATTCTTCTACTTTTATGCTAACATTTTTCCTTGTAACAACTATTTGACTGTAGCTGACCTCTGGAAATTGTCTTTGGAAAGTACCAAATGGACTATTGCAGGCTTGGAAGTGGTCTGCCTGCACACAGTGGAGTTGGTCAGCATTTCCATGGAGGGAACCACCAGTTTCCAGCTCTCCAAGTGACTCGTTTTGACCCTTTCTAAAAGAAAAATCTATCTATCATCCCCAGCAAGTACAAGATTGTTTCACGAGCGCTGTCTCCAAACCTGTAGCATCCAGCTCCTCTTCTTGGGATGTTGTCGTCCACCCAAGCCCCAGCTGTAGGGGTGGGCTGCCAGGTCCAACAGCCCCCAGTAGCCTGGGACCCAACAGCCACCTCCCAGCCTGGAAGTGCCGGTGGAGGGCTGGGAGGTGCAGTGAGCTACACAGACGGGTCATTTCTCACCGGGGAACATCTCTCAGGGATCTCCTCAGCAGTTTTAGGTAGAGCAGCACGGGGCTTTTTGCTGTGCAGGGGGTTCAATACGTGGCTTGCGGGGCAAGGAAGCCTGGGCACCCCTGGTGAAGAATAGACAGGCTCTAATTGAATGCCTTTTGGTTTATAACCTGCTGGCAGCTTAGCTTCAGGAGTTTCAGAAAAATCCCCTGTGCGCTGAAGAAATACAACAGCTCTGGACAGGCAAAGGCATTTTTCATAGGTGACCTACAGTTAATCACTACTTTATGCTTGAACTTCAATTCTTCATTAGCAGCAGGGTCGTTGGCTATTCCTCCCTATGAAAACCACACAGGCAGCACTAGGCGCTTGAGTTAAACAAACAGGAGTAAGCACTTTTCAATTAGTGCCGAACTTTATGAAATGTGAGACTGCGACATCAGTGTGAAAGCTCCCGTGAAGCACAGGCCTGTGGCAAATACAGCCCGGTTCTGCCCGTGCTTGGCTGCAGCCCCCAAGGGCAGCGGCAGGCATGGGGTTACATGGGATGAGGCTCAGCATCTTCATTTGTTCGTCAAGCTTGCTGCTCATTTACAGTCATAAATGAAACATTCGGCTGCGGTGGCATAAATAACAGGTGACGTTTTAACAACGCTGGCAGCACGGTGCGGAAAGTCTTTTAACACGAATGAGTTATGTGAGGTCCATGTGAGTTTTGTGAGGTGTATTCATTCTCCTCTTCTGAGGCAATCGCCTATTTGCTTCTGAAAACAAAAGTTAAAGTAAAAAACACTCACACGCATTGCAAATAGCTTCTCAGGAGGATTTCTGATGTAGCAAAATGACAGAGCTATAACTCTGAGTGAGCGAATACTGGAGGACAAGAGATGTCTATGAAGAGAAGCATCCTACATACGTGTGTTGTGAGCAATGGGATGGGAATTGCTCCCAATAATTCAGCCTCCTGGACATGGGGACTTGGCTTTAACAACAGGCTTTCTTGTTAAAACACATTTTCTATGTTGGCATCTGCCTCTAGGTGACCTGGGCTTCTTACATGCCTGGAACAGTCCATTAGAATAAAACAGAATATGTGTATATACACACACACATATATATATACATATACATGCATAATATAGCAAAACCTTTTCTCACTGCCAACCCCTTGCTTTTTTCTAAATGGCACAATAATTAGGTTGAGTGATTTGTCACAGAAATACACGGGAAGTCTCAGCCTGATAACAGAGGGCAAAAAACCCATTGGTCGCAAATATAAATAGTAAAAGCAGTGAAGGTCTCTACTTCAATCCCAATCACCTAGAGAATTTTAAGCCATTTAACAATATTTAACAAGCTGTTCCAAGCCACATGAAGACATTACCCTGCTGCCTGCCAGTAGCAGCAGCACGGCAGCATGGCGGGTGGGAGGGAGGGCTCCACAGTCCCTCGCTTTTCCTTCGGCGCTGCTTTCTGCTTCCAAGCCGGCATGCTCAGCAGATGCTTCTTAAAACCGACCACGTTAGCTCTGTTACTCCCTCCCCGCCACCCACCCACCTGGCACCAGAGAAGGGATCTGCTGAACTTCCATAATCACCGATGAAATGATCAGCCCGGAGAAAAAACGGATCCCCTGCGGCTCCCTGGGTGCATCCATCCTCATGCCTTCCTCCTCCACCTGCAAGAGCCACAGAGCATCAAAGGTTGTGCACGTATACTCTTTAAGCTTTTATTTGACGTCATTGCTCCAGGTAGCTTTATCTCGACAACCCCCTCCTGCCTTGAGGGCTGTTGCAGAGCCCCGTACCCGCTTCTCCTCCCACCCCACGATCTGTTGCCACTGTGGACATCCCACAGAAAGGGAACGGGCTGTACTCCTACGCTGGCACAACTCCTTGTAACCAGGGCGCATCCGAACTTTGCACTCAACTGCTGCCTTTGCTATGGTGTGCGGAAACACTCGCATTTCAAAAGATATTCAGAGCGTGGACCTGTGGCAGTTTGGACTCATGGCTGATCTGATGCCTACACCTGATGCCTACACCTATTTTTATTTTTAATTATTTTTAATTTAATGCCCAAACTCTTTCTTTTCTTACAGGATTCCTGCGCAAAATCCCCAGTCTGGTTATGGACATGTGTTGCCAGCAAGGAAGATGGAAACTTCTTATCCTGAGACCGGGGGCCATGATGCTGACGCTAAATTTGGGGTTTCCAATTGCAGAATCAGTTTGTTTCACCCATCCTAACAATGCATTTTGGGGCTCCCCAGTAAAGAAAGATATTAACACAGTGTTCAGCGGCAGGTTGCCAAGATGGTTGGGGAATGGCAGCATATGACATACGGGGAGAGGCTGCAAGAACTGGGCTTGTTCAGCCTTAAGATGAGAAGCTATGGGGAGATCTGACTGCGGTCTGCAATGGGAAGGCACAGAGAAGATGGAACCAGACTTTTCTTGAAGATGCGCTGTAGCAGGGGAAGAGGCAACGGGCACAAGGTGGAATGTGAGAAATTCAGATGTGGAATGGGAAAAGCTTCTTTATCCTAAGGGTCATCAAAGACTGAAATGGTGCTCAGAGAAATTAGGAAAACTCCCTTCTTGGAGATATTCAGAACTCAGCTGGACAAAGCCATAAATAACCTGTTTTAATTGGGCCAGCTTTGAGCGGGGGTTTGGACTAGATGGCCAAACTAGCACCTTCCCGACTTCAATCAAGTTTGTGATTCTGTGAACTTCATTTGTTGAGCTATCCTTTTTCTTCCCCTGTGTGGCTTCTGGTAGCCAAGCCCAGCCCCATTTCTCTTCTCTGTGATTTGGGAAGATGTGGCTTTACCAGCACAGAGCAGGGGTTGGAAATTGTTTTCTTCCCATTGTAGTGAGCAGATCTGTGCATCTCACCAAGCCTTTGTTCTGGGATGGTATAGAGCATGGTATAGAGCATGCCTCTGCTGAATAGTCACACAATTAAACTTCATTTTCAGCTGGCTCGGAACAATCAGTTGTAAAAGAGATCCAGTGAGTCTTCCCAAAGCACTGAAGAACGAGAAGTTTTATCTCAGAATATCCTGAGCCTTGAAGCCTGGAGGTGACTGACAAAACATAACTGAAATACAGTGAGATTCTGCTTCTAATTATTTTTGATCAGGGAAAATACTCCCATTTTCTCAGTGTTCCCTCCAGGAGTCTTTGACACCTGGACAAGAATCTGGGATTAATCTCAGCAAATGCAACTCCCCAAAAACTCTTCCTAAACATCCAGGGAAATAAACATCTGTCCATTTCCAAAGGTTTGTTTTGCCCAGTAGTCATCCTTGCTGTTAATTATGGCTCGTGCAGAGCTTGACTTTTCTGTGACCGTGAACTCTCTCTAAAATGAACCCCCCCCCCCACTTTGATATGGAGATAATATACTTGTTATAAACCCTATCCTCTAGCATCTCTCAGAACTGGACAACTAAAGTACTAAATATATGCACTACCACTCAGAGCTGGTATTATATTGCCAGGCCTTCAGAGTTAATTATTTTTGCTTTCAAAGGAAGAAAAGTAATTTTAAAATTGGTTTAATATCAGTCTCACACCAAAGGTGTTTCTTACTGCATTTCTTCCATAAACCATCAGTAGCATTAATTAAAATGTCCCTTTTTTTCCAGCTCCTTCTTTCACTGTGAAGACTGGATCTTTAAGTGAAATGAGTAAATAGCTGTCATCTCAGTAGTGGGTCCTTCCAGAAGCAGGGTTGGAATTTGTAGGATGAGACCCACATCTTGGCTCTTGAGGAGAGGGTCATGGTGGTGTCAGAGTTACAAATGCTTAGTAACCGAGGAAAAATACTTCCCTTTACGCTGGGAAAAAACAGACCTTGTTTTAAGTCATGGTCCACAATCCCAGGAGCAGTCCAGCACTCAAAGCTACTTCACCAAGGATCTTACTAGCTCCCAAGATGACAAGACTGGAGAGGACAGAGCCTTGTATCTCCTCATTTTAAACTTAAAATATTAAACTTAAAAAATGAAAAAATATTGTGTGAGAGCGAGAGACCACTGGGACCAGCTGCTGGTCTAATCACTGGAAGAAGCTTAGGAGGGAGTGAAAATCCAGGGCCAGAGGGAAGGAGACATTCCTAAATAGCCAGTTGCTTTATCAGAAATTACATCTTGTCCAACACCAAACTTCATCTGCCAATTTTTTTCAAGTTTCTTTGAACACGTGTATGGTTTCTGCCCTCACAATATCCCATGGTGATAAGTTCCACAGCGCATGGGGTGTGTTGTGGAGAAAGCCCTTCCTGCTGGTCGCAGAGATGCTGCCCAATAACCCAAGAACTAGAGGCACCCAGTGAAATCACATAATCAAATGAATAATGCTTCCTCTGGGGTCTTTTAAATATTTTTTTTCTGGGCAACAGTCTTTTAATCTATTTAGTCTCTCCTCCTAGAGGGACCGTTCGCTATCTTCCCCCTGTCTAACTCTAGGACCTGGCAGCGCTGCTGATCTCCCAGGTCTGGGTCCTCCCAACTCCATCCCTGTTCCTCAGCAAGGAAGGAGGGTGACCGCAGCACACCACTCCCTTAAATGTCCTGGTTTTGGAGGCTGAAACACACTGGGCAGGTCCATGCATGAGAATCAGGGAAACAAGACACTGAAGTGACAGTAGTCTTGTGGGTTTTGTCACCCTATAGTGCTTATACATCCCTTCAAGGATGATATAACTTGGAGGATGGCAGCCTGTATTCCAAGATATGCGCATATCCAGCTATTACAGGGTCCTGCTCTACACCTTGCTCCTCTCCAGGTAATTGCCAGACTTCTGCCTCCCTTTATGATCACTTCTGGATTTTGTTCAGTCTTCCTGGGGCAGCACCAGGGTCAGCAGTGATTTTTCCAGAGCATCCTCTCTCCAGTGGGAGAGCTGAACTTCCCACCTTTGCTTCCCACCTCATCCTTTGTTCATTTGTGAGCATTTGGTGTAGGAGACGGTTGGATAAAGTGTGGGATATCACCAGGATTTCCCTTCTTTGCACACTTGGTGACTCTTTTAAGAGCACTTAGAGTGGGAAAGCACAGCTTCTGCCCAAGAACTTCTACTGACACTGTCTGCAATGATCCCAAGAGCTCATTAATTCTATTTATTCCAGTTTCCACTATCTGATGAGCATGGAAATCACATCCTATAAAGAAATTGGACACACTTGCCTCCTGCTGCTGCTCTAGTACTCAGGCTGTGAGTCTGTCCTACGTTGCCAAGAGCATGATCGCCGGCTCACTTCTGCTCCCCACCTCCACCTTCAGACTTTGCAGGCAGAGAGCTGCACCAAACAGAAGTGCTCTGACCACCTTCTGAGGTTACCTATTAATCAAGCAATGAGGACAAGAAATTAAAATGTGCGTATTTCAATGCAGAAGAGCTGAACCCCTTCCCCCAGCAAGTACTAGCAACACCATACATTTTAGTATCAAATCCCAGTAAAATTACTTAGACTCAAGTTGGCACATAGATTCCAGTGCTATCAAGTCACAGTTACAAAGCTGTAGTATTATGCCTGACAGCTTTGTACAAGATTTAAAATCAGGTAAGCCTTGAGTTAACTTAGCTGTACATTAATATGGGAGCCAAGACAACCTCACATAAGGGCACTGTATTCCACACCTCGCCTCTCGTGCAGAGGAGAACATCTTAGTGGCAAGCCATGCATTTCTTTCTGGTACAAGTAATTTAATAGTCTATATATATAAATGTGTGTACACACAAACACAGGCAGACATACTCACAGCCTCACCTTCAGCTTGAGAGTGTTTTTCCTGGGATTTGTCATTCACCCAGCACTAGAGAATAAAGAAAATGAGACATGGTATTTTCAATTTGATCTACTCAAAGATATCCTCTATGTGGAGGATATACAGAAAGAATTACTCCTTAAGCTTTCAAGGTTGTGGTGATTGCGGTCAATATCTAGCTTTTCCCAGCAGGGACTTCTGTGTGGCAAGTTCTCTACAAAGCTTACTTAGAAGAAAAACCCATCAGAAACAGTGACAGCCCAGGACATCCTGCAGGTCAGGTGGAGGCGAGGCAATCGGATTTAGTCTTATGTGCACCAGAAAACAGATCAGATTGCATTTTTTAGGTTGTCCGATAGTGGAGTTCCTTACGACATGGGAAGTGAAGGGACTGGGTTTGTCAGACCTGTGTCATCCTTTCTAAGCCATCCTTCAAGTGACTGGGCTCGGAGGCGTCTCACACATGTTTTTAGCTGCCGTTATTTCTTCTGCTTGTTTAGTTGCAAGACTACTTGTTCATCTTCAAATGATGTTTGACATCTCACTGTAAATAGTCTAGGTTATAAACATCTCAAGTGTCAAAGTCTGAGCGTATCTGCCTGCCATTCTGGTTTGCATCTCTTTCTTATTCTGCCTGTTCAGCAGCTGTGTCCTTGGTGACGACTGTGCTTGAACTTGGAGTCTGATTTAGACAAAGCTTGGGTATTAACCAATTAGTAGAGCTGGCTGAAAGATGAATATTCAGGAAAAGAAGGAGCAGGACACCTGGAGGCCACGAGCACATGGCTGCTGAGGAGACACAGGGCTGGGAACTGGGGCTCAGTCCCACAGCAGATGAGGTCACTTGACAAACCAGGTACATCCTTGCTCAGGATTTCAGAACAGCCACGTTCCTGCAAAGCATTTTCTACAACTTTTGATCAGAAGTACAGCTTAATCCAGGCAGGTGAGGGCCACTCTTCACGTGGGAGATCTTTACCTGTCATCTCAGTCTGATGTCGCAGAGCCAGGCAACCTGCAGCGGGCTGAACGCTGGCCAGCAGTATCTGATCCAGCAATAATTCAGGGACCAAAATTCTCAAAAGCACATCAATTTACATCACTATTTTATAGGATTTAAATGAAAACAGAAATATGTAAGGAAGTGACTCTCCATCCGATAGACATTCTTCCCATATTAAAAGAGACACAGAAGCAATTATCTTCACATGCCTTTTCCTGTGCAAGTGGATTAGCATCGTGCCTCTGTCTCAGAAGATACTCACATGTGACTAGGGATTAATTAAATCACAAGACACCTGGAGGGGAAGTCAGAAGCATGTACACTTTCTACTCCAGACATTTTAAAGTGAGGAAAGAGAAATATTTTACCAGCAAGACCTTCCAGTCTTGATGGGGAAGAAGAACTGAAGACCAGCTTGGGAATTTCAGGGCAGAGAGCACAGAACAACCTGAACCCTGAAAATGAACCTGCTTGTAATTATAGCTACCACCTCATGCAGCTAATGGGCTCTAGTGTCCAGCAGCAGTTGAAGAGCTAGTGAGAGGTTCCCACGGGTGCTGCCCGTTGTGCATATGACCATTTAAATTCAGGTTACCTATAAATCAACAGCAGAGCCCTTTTAGTGGCAAGTCTGGTGATGGCAGCAATTAGAGTGACCCTGCTTTCAGTTCCTTCCAATTCCTCACAAGTATCCAGGCTGCAGCTTTCCACCCCCTGCCACCACAGCAAGAGGTGAGGCATCGCTGGAGGGAGGAAGGCTGGGACTGAAAAAGCACAGGCACACTGGGCAAGATGATGGGATGAACTCAAGAAGACACAAGGACATAGATGCTGGGCAACCAGCAAGAGGGGAATAAATACCTGGTTATGCAAGGCGGTTGGGAGCAGGTGAAAGGTGGGGAATGGAGCTCAAGATTGCAGTAGCAAGTCTGTGGATCAAAACTCCAGGAGCTGTCAGGCACAGATGTTGCTTGGGGGTGTTACAGCCAGGCCCTGGGCTCCTTCTAGCTCCAGCCCTTTTCTTCAGGAGGCTGTACAGGAGGCATCCAGGCACAGTAATGCATCCTTCCCTGCAGAGCCACCACAGCTTTTTCTCAGTGCTGGCGTGTATTCAAGCCTCCCTCCTGTGCCAGGGTAAGCTGCTTCTCTTATAAGCAGCCACCACCCTTCCTCCGGCATCTCCCAGAGAGCTGAGGATGGACTGGTAGCCCCAGCTTTCTCGTTGAACCCTCTCTCTGGCTGGACTGTGTCTGGCAGCTGTGGCCCCATGTGGAGCTACCCAAACCACGGCATCGCTTTAACTCTCTTTCTCACCTGGTTGCAGGAGGATGACGTGACCCCCTTGCACCAGCCAGCTGGGGACCTCCCCAACACCACGTCCAGAGAAGAGAGAAGGCTACAGACACACTGGAGAAGAAAGAGCAGAGAGCACTTCTCCCTGCAAGGCAAGATCGGAAATCCAGCACCGACAGCCATGGCACAAGTCAGGCCAACACAGAGTGAAAGGAGGCTTTGGTATCTCGGTGACAGGCTGACAGCATTACAGCAGACCACCACTACTTATCCTCCCTTCCTTCACGGCTCATAGCAAAGTGGGCTGGTCCCATCTATCTGTGCAGGTTTTCCAGTATATTGACCAGGAATCCCTCTGCCAACCCTGTTCCCCAGCTGTGTCACCTGGTGCCTTTGCTTCATTTCCAGTGGATCATTGCTGAATAGAGAGCTGACCCCCCCATCTCCCCTCCTGCAGAGAGGCTCAAGGTTGCCCCACTCTCCTCCCCCACCTCGTTCCAGCCATTTGGGCAAGGAGAGCTGTGCGGTGTCCTCCACCTCCATGCAGGAAGCCCCTGCCGCTGATCTCTCCATCATATATGAGCTCACATGTGTCAGAGTCTTGGCGAAGAAATTCACCTGGGATCAAAGCACAAACGAAGTCCCAGTGTCCCTTGTCACCTTTCTTGAGCTTCCCCACCATACCAGCTAGTAGCTCCCCAGTAAAACATTGCTTTAATGTAATTTCCCAATTGTTAGCGACAATTTCCCGAAGGATTAGAAACTGGGGAAAGCTTTAGTGGAATGCAAAGAAGTTAAGAGGAGGAAAAGAACCAACACCATCCTCAAGGAAAAGCTCAAGGAAAAATGAGAGAGCAAACATGTTACCATGCATCAGCCGGAGCAGAGTAGCTGTCCATCTGCCTGCCACTACCCTCCGTAGGAAAGCAGGTATCTCAGCAAAGCTGCAAGCCCCGATGGAAAAATTGTACCAGAACCTGCGTTACCGTGAGTTTGTCTGGGGAAAAAAGCACAGTTACACAGAGGTGTTGGTGCTCGGTTCATGCGAGGTGCCTTCCTACCCAAGGCGGGTTGTTTGTGTGCCTGAGCCTCTAGTGCTTTTAATGTGAGCTCCAGAGCCATTTCACAACCCACATCAGCTGCAGCAACTCTGGCTGCTGCCCCTGTTCTCCTTGTTAACGAGCTTGTCTCTCTGCGGGAAATACTCCTTAACACAGATCTCTCTGCACCCCATCCCTCCTCCCGCCCCTGACTCCCACTCGCTGGAGACAGGATGGGATCCAACGGTGCTCTGCCAAGTTACAGGGGCTGCCTGACAGCCACAATGAGGGAGCACTTTATATTTCAGAGCTGTGCGCAATGATTGCCTAATTAATCCCCATCCCCCACCCCTACATCCAGTACAGCGTGAGGATGTCTTGATTTTCTCGTTCTCCCAACGTGGGATCCCACAGCATGGCAAACTTCAGCGATTCGCTCCCAGTCAGTGTGAGAAGGGACCTGGGGAGAGGAAGCTGATGCTGAGGCCCCCACCAAAGTAAAATACAAGGGAATAAAGAAGTCATCTCATGGGCAGGACTCCTTCTCGCCAGCATCCCTCTCCACCTTGCTGTGCTCGGGGGACAATTAAATTACACTGCCGCTTCCCTTTCATTGTGATCCGATTTACGGGGGAATTAATGGGGGCAGAGGAAGAGGCCACCTTTTCTTTTCCCGGCCTGCGTGAAGCCAAAGCCAGGGCAACTGACAACTATAAGCCTTCCTGAAAAACGCAATGCTTGCCAGGATATCTTTATTAGAGAGGAGAAGGGGGGAGAGGGGAAAGGGCTGCTGTAGGAATGAAAGGCAGATACAGGTGTCAGCCTTGCTTACAGCAGGGATTTTGCACCGGTGCAGCTAAACCCTTCGGTTCAAATTCCCCCGTGGAGCAGCCTGCAGCAGCCCTCTCCCCCGCTGACAGTGCCAACCCAATGGGTGACCAAGTGTGCCACAGTGCTTGTCACCCAAGCAGGACAGCAGGTTGCTGGACACTCTCATGGGGACACCCGTACTTGAAAATATAGTAAAATCCCAGCTTCTCATGGGTCATTTGTCCAGGCTGTGGGTTTGCTGTGCTGCAGATGGGGATATGAGACCATTTCAAGTCCAGGGTTGTGTTATGGCTTGGACACCCTACTCTGCAAGCCCAGCCATCGCTGCTATTACCAGCTGTGGTCCAGAGCACTTTGGCAAATTTTGCACAGCATGGAACCACAGCGATTAAACCATGGGGGCAGCGAGCTCTGTGCAGGATGCACATAAGGATGCTTTGTGAAACAATTCTCTGTGTAAAGCCAGATGGATTCCAAAGGCATCTGGTCTAATGGCACCCCTGCTACTCCAGAGCAACCCGTGTCTCTCTGTGCCACGCTGCCTCATGCCCTGGGAGCAGTGCGTGGTGGCACTGGGACAGGTCTGTAACAGGGAACTGGGGAATGCAGGAGCTGGTGGGAACAAGAGGAACAGGGAAGAAATGCTCCCAGGTCCACGCTCCCCCTCCGCAGAGCCCCCGTGGCACCTTTGCTCTCTGTTATATTCCATGTTACCAAGGTTTTTCTGCTCACCTGAGTAGCCCAGCTTTTTGATGATCTCCAGGATCTTGGAGAGCAGAAAGTTGATTGCACATATCCATCTTCCAGTGTCCAGACTGAGGAAAGAGAGAGGAGACGTGATGTCCCTGGGAAGCCATCGCTCAGGTAGTTGCACTGCCTACATCCTTAAATTTACATGTCCAGTGCCTCCAGTGCTGGAATGGCATGGTAATATTTTTTGTACCTAATCCTCTTTGAAAGTTCACATATATTCAAACTGTTAAGATGTGCTTGAATCCCTCAGCTCACGTTAACTCCCTTCTGTGTGTGGGGTAGTCTCTCTAGATGGCAGATCACGTAACAGATGAACAACTTCATTGTCATTTCTCTCCAGAGCTGGGGAAGAGCAACCCAGGTCAACGGAGAGTTTCTGAAGAAACTTCCTGCATGTGGACTTCTCCCTGACACCCAGGCAGTGGAGGTGGTGGCACAGCCAAGGACCAAAGAAAAGGGCTCATTTCCCTGCTGGGGCTCTGGGGATAAAAACAGTACGGAGCAAAAGTAGTGGGTCAAAACCCTACTTTGGAATCTGGAGACTCCTGGGCAGGAAGAAGATGGTTCCAGAAGTCAAAGCAGGTATATCACCCACCTACAAAATTGAGAGATGGTTAGAAAAGCCCAAACAGTAGCCTGGGCGAGGAGGAAGATGACACTAAGCACCTGCCTGTATTATGTACCTTTGCACATGCCAACTATCATAGCTGTACAAAGGCGAACCTGCTTCTCAGGAGCACAAACAGAAGGAAATGACGATTCTTAATTTCAGAAATAAAATGACAAAAGGAGGCAAGTTAGTAACGAGTTAAGAGTTACTTGCATTCAAAAGAAGCCAAGGACCTAAAATTGCACAGTGAGTGTAATGGTGGGACTGTGTGTGTTACAACCTAATGAGGAGATGGCAAAGCCTGCATGTATGTGATGAATGAATTAGCTGTTAATTCTTAATTTCCATGCCTATCTCCTTCCATCCTGTTTTCACCTGGGGCTGCCTCTTGAGCAGGCATGGAACTGCTACAGCCTTGTCAGTGGGACCAGTGGGCTGAGTTAGCTCAGGGGTCTGAGAACAGACGCTCTTTTAAGGCAGGTTTATTATCCAAATAATACCCTGCTGCTTTGTTTTAATTACTGTTGCTTGAATTATGACATTAGGTCCCACTGGCAGGGTCAGCTTTGCTGTGCTGTCGCTGTCTCCCATGGTCCCACAGCAGCTACCCATTGCGGCTCCTTGCAGACCTGATCTTGACCTTAATCTTGGCTACACCGCATTGACCTGGCCTTTCCCCACTGCCAATACAGCGGCAGCAGCGAGCACAGCATGGTTCTGTCTAAAAGGTAAGGAGGGATCGGTACTCCTAGTAATACTCAAGCAATCTCTAATGACAATTTGGCACCTAATGCTTGTGTAACGCAACCAGAAGGTGTTAATGGTGTTTATTAATGAAGCATGACTTCTGCTGAGGTTTTATTTAGGTGGTGATGGCATGAGGATGGTGGGAGACAGATGTCCTAGCCAGTGACCCTCCGAAAGCAAGGAGAAGTGTGCTAGGAAGGGGAGAAGGAGCTGAAGAAACTAATGTCACTGACTTCAAAGGTGAAAGATTCTCTTTATACTCTGAAAGTGACTGAATAAAATGACTGGCATCATTACTTAGCTAAATAGGATTTTCTACTTGTGTGGGATTATTTTAAACGTCAATTTGATTAGCCCGATTGCTGCTGATTTGTCCCAAAGAAGTGCATTACATTAATTTAAGCCTTATATTGAGAAAATACTTTGAATTATGATACCATTTATTAACATGATTTGCTTTCTCCCAACAGATGTGTTAGCTTTGCCCACAGCGCTTGAAGCTTAGTTTTTAGAGTCGAGTTCACAGTGTTAGTTTCAGCTGTGGAAAGAGCTGCCCTCTCCGTGAACATTTGCAAGCCACCCAGTCATGAAGGAACTCCAACCATCCCATCCACTTAGTAAAAGAGAAAGCAGATGATCCCTCGTACCCAGCTGTACTACAGTCACCTGAGGTGCAGGGCTAGTTCATGCATTCTGGATAAACCCCTGAAATGATGAAAAGCACTGCTTTTCCTAATGTTTTTAAGGAGAAGGAGTTCCCAGGAGGGGAAGGAGGAGGAAAGCTTACTGCATCCTTGCTGAAAGCACCACCAAAGGTGAGATCCTATGGCCCAGGAACGTAGCCAGCATTAAAACCCACTGCACTAAAGTATATGATTAATAATATGTTGTTCCACCTCCACTTCCCAGTTGCAAACAGTGTTTTTACTCACCGAAACCTTCCTGGTGAGCTCCCATCCACGCTTAGCCACCCACGGCACCAGGACAGAGATCACCCCTCATCTTCAGCCACACATTTTGGAGCCTTCCTTCTGACAAAAGGGCACCTAAAGACCCAAATAAGCATTTTAAGGACACCCTTGCAAGATTTTATGCAGGTCATATCAACATCTGATCAAAGCATCTCTTAGGATGCTGCTGTAGCTGCAGCTCTTTGCTCATATGCCTCGTGCGTGGGGCCCAGCGCTGGAGATAGTCAAGCACTGCAGCAAGTACACATAATGAAATGAAAAAACAGAGTGACTTCCTCAGGCTAGAAGCAACTCGAGAAGGAGCACCCTGTTGAGTCCATCTGGAATTGCTGAAGGGCATACTGGGGAAATTTCAGGACTGGCGTTGGCACCAACAGGGCAAACCCAGGTTATTAAATCCCACGGCCGGCTACAAGCGACCGCAGCCCTTGCTCCTTTGGCTGCCTCTTACAGCCCAGACGCGCTGGGAGCACTCCCTCGTATCGTTAGCTTCTCAGTCCTGCCAGGTGAGGGAAATGTTTCCAAGATTTCATTTAATACCTGTATTTAATCCATTAGCTCTCCCTGCAGACCTCCTGAAGGCTGGGCTGTGACTAAGGAGGAGATAAGTGCCCTGTTTATTGCTCTCCTGATACTTCTCCACTTTCCTCTCCACTTCCACGGGCAGTTTTCACCCCGCAGTTGTTCAGTGCCTCAGAAATACGTATGGGACCCCTCTGCCCTGTCCCCTCGGGACGGGCTGAAGAGGAGAGACCCCCTCCCAGCTCCAGCAATACAGCTCTCACTCTCCTGTGCCTGCACCAGAGTAAGATGCTCCACTTGTCGAAGGGAGGGAAGCTTCGCAGGCAGTGCTGCTGGGCGGTAAAGGGAGCAGAGCCGGGAGCAAAACCCTTGCTCCAAGCATCCATACCTCCAAGCGGACATCCATATCATCAGGAGTAGCCAGCAGGGATTCACTGAAGAGAAGTCATGCTGGACCAACTTGATAACACTCTGTGAAGGAGGGACTGGTCTGGTAGGTGAGGGGACAATAGTGGATATTGTCTACCTGGACTTCAGGAAGGGCTTTGACACTGTCTCCCATAAGATCCTCATATTGAAGCTGATGAAGTACAGGCTGGATGAGCAGACAGTGAGGTGGACTGAAAACCGGCTGAAGGGCCAGGCCCAGAGGGTGGTTTTCAGTAGCACAAAGTCTAGTAGGAGGCCAGTAACTAGCAGCGTACCCCAGGGGTCAATTCTCGGTCCAGTCTTTTTTAACATCTTCATTAGTGATCTGGATGATGGGTCAGAGTGTGCCCTCAGGACGTTTGCTGACAACACCAAACTGGGAGGAGCGGCTGGTACACCACAGAGTTGTGCTGCCATCCAGAGAGACCTTGACAGCTTGGAGAAATGAGCTGACAGGAACCTCGTGCAGTTCAGCAAGGACAAGTGAAGTCCTGCACCTGGGGAGGAACAACCCCATACACCAATATATGCTGGGGGCCACCCAGCTGGAAAGCAGCTTGGCAAGAAAGGATCTGAGGTGTCCTGGTGGACACCAAGTTGAACATGAGCCAGCAATGTGCCCTTGCCACAAGGAAGGCTAGTGGTATCCTGGGCTGCGTTAGGTAAAGTATTGCCAGCAGGTCAAGGGAGGTGATCTTTCCCCTTTAGTCAGCACTGGAAGCCACACCTGGAGTCCTGCATCCAGTTCTGGGCTCCCCAGTACAAAAGAGAGATGGACATACTGGAGAGAGTCCCACAAAGGGCTACAAAGATGATGAAGGGACTGGAGCATCTCTCCTATGAGGAGAGGCTGAAAGAGCTGGGGCTGTTCAGCCTGGAGCAGAGAAGGCTCAGGGCAGGATCTTATTAATGTATATAAATACCTGAAGGGAGGGTGTGAAAAGGATGGAGCCAGGCTGTTCTCCAGTGACGGGAATAGAGGCAACGGGCACAAACTGGAACACAGAAGGCTCCATCTGACCCTCATCTCCTCTTCATTGGTTTTGACCACCCAAACAAATGTGCTTCCACACACAGTATTCATTTGGCTCATTTTCGGTATATTAATGGCTTGACTCACACCTTTCCCCGGGGTAGACTCCATTAACATGTGAATTAGCAATCCCACAAGGAGCTCATTAGTACAGTGCCAAACCAGAGGTCTTTAGTTCATGCTAGCACCTGGTCCATTGGTGCACCAAAGATGCTAGTGCTTGCTGCATGAGAAGCAAAAAATGCAAAGAGTTAAAAAAACCCCACACCAACATTGAAAGGGCTGAACATGTGGTGTTTTGACACCTGTCCAACTGGAAGAATCCATGTCTGCTGTCTATGGAGATAAGCTCTTTTATTCCGGACTTCAGACAGGCTGCAATGATGTCACTGTCTAGATAACAAAATCGTCAACTATTATTTGCTGCTCTTGGCAGTAGCTCCTACCTAAACCATACAAAATTCCTTATTTGTTAACATTCCCAAAGGGAGACATGTCTCAGGAGGGCTGGGCAGCCTCCTACATGACTTTAGGTGCTTGTTTCTCATACACAAGACGTAACAGCACACTCAGATGAAACGTTCAAAGAAAGAGGTACTTTTTAATGTGATACCGAACTCATTTGTGCAACTTGTTGCTGCAAGGTACTCTTGCACCAAACCTTCCAGCACGGTGAAAGTAGGAGTCAGATCATTCAAATGGACCTGCAGGCTCCTGCTGAAGTTGATTGCTAATTTGGGACCGTCATGATGCCGTTGTATAACTTCCAAGATGTTGGCACACTCAGAGAATATTACCCTTCCAAATGGGCTCTGAGGCAAGGGAATACACCAGGGCAAATGCACCATGAGCCAAGTCCCTCTTCAGCATATTGTACTTTTTTTCCTCTTGGATATGGCACCCATGTGGCCTGGGAGAGTATGCAAAAGTGAAATTTCTCTCAAGATGCGTCATTTTCTGAAGACCATGTTTCCCTCTAACCCCATTTCCCTCTACTCTTCCCTGTTGTAATAGGGATAGTTTTAATCTCCTGACATCACCATAAAGGCTGAGAGAAGTTGAAAGCACTTCTTCTTGGAAGAAAGCGTTGTATGGCAAAGGAAGAATAATTGTGACAGCGCAGGGAGAGCAGATATGTCTCCCTAAAAAGATTTTACAGCCTCATTTGCATTCCAAAAAAAAAAGAGGTTTGGTGGGTTTTTTTTGCTAGAAGCAGCAGGGAAACATGAGAAATTCAGCATCTCAGAATATTCCCAAGGGAAAAAAAGAACAAGGGTTAAAAAAAGATCAAATCCAGTCCTACCAAATCATATCTAGTTCAAGCAACAAAGATTGCATGTAAGGGAGTGACTAGCCTGGGGCTGATGCCAATTCCCTCCCCACTGTAGGAGATTAGGCATTGCCCCCAAGCCCAGCCAAAGCCTCACTTCTGGAGAAGGCATAGACCTACCATTCATTAAACCTCTCTGCCAGGACATGGTACAGCCCGAGGCAGTCATGGCCAAGACCTGCATGGTGGACTTCAGCATGACAGTGCCACATGCCCCAAGAGTAGATGGCGCACAAGCCAGAGCTACTTGGGGATGGTGAAGGGACTGAAACTTCATTTTAAATTGACACGTGTGTGATCCCAGAGGGGTTGAGTTTATGAGAGCCCATTAGCACTGAGTGGGAGAAGAACAGCCAGCATGTTTGCAAAGAGCAGGTATGGATAATCTGACCAAGATGACCCAACCTATCATTCCCCTATCACATGGCACAGGGCTGGTTCAGACACTGCAACCTAAGTGTGCCCCGGTCAGCTGGTAGCAACCATTAAATGGTGTCTGGTATACCTGTCCCCCCATAATGTATATTAAGAGGACATATGAAATGCACGGACTCTGCTAATAGTGCCTGGCAAAATGGGCACTGGATCAGGCAGATTTCCATTGTCAGAAGTGCAGAAAAAAGATGTTTAAGACTAGGAAGATCCCTTTACCAGGTGGAACTGAGCCAGGCTTCTCAGCTCTACGCACAATTTTAGCTCACTGCAAAATTACCACTGCTCACCCTCCTTCTTCCAGCAAGTAATGGGATGGCAGAGGCTGGCGATATGGATTCCAGGTGAAAAATAAGCAGAAGCAGAATGTCAGGACTTTAATCACATCTATATGAGATGTGATTTTTCCTCCTAGTCAGACGTACCTGTTTTTGTACACAGACATTAATGCTTGTGGAACAATATTTGATCAGCCTTAATTTTCAGGCTGGATCCCTGCCTGTTTCTCCAGCTGAGCAGCCCAAGGTTTCCTCCTGCTGCTGTGGCCAGCTCTCGGCAGGATTTGCGCATTTGTCGCTGTGTGCAGCCGGGATAAAGCACATGCAGGGTCTCTAACGCACTGCAGTGGAGCCGAGTCGCTTCCGATGCGGCTGGCTCAGCCTCCTCTCTGCCATCCCTGGCTGGTTCATTAGCATCAAACTGTTCAAAGGGATGGAAATTAAATTATATTTAGGTCAGAGACATATTTTAAGCAAAAAAACCTATTATATTTAAAGCATCTTGTTCAGAGACTCTCTGTCTGCTGCTTCCAGGACAGTTGCACAAATACTCACTGTCCTTAATACATTTTTTTAATGATACAGCAGGCGCTTCCAAAATCTGATTTTTGTTTAAACATAAATTAGGTTCATTCTCTCTCTCAATCTAATTAATGCTGGTGAATAAGAAACCACCTTCTGGCTGCTCATTTAGGTATCCCAAACAGAAAAAAGCCCAGATTTCCCTGGATAACTTTGAAAGAGAGAGAAAATAGCTCTGCCACAGTGACGGGGTTGTAGTCCCGGACAGCCCGGCGCTGCCAGTGCTCTGCTCTCTGCTAGGAGGGAGCACGCAGGCAGGCAGGCAGGCAGGCAGCTTTCCAGGAGCACCAGCAGTCAGACATTGCTTCCCACACTTTAGGCTGCCATTCCTTTTAGGCAGTGGCCTCTCCATGACTCTCTACAATCAAATCTTAAACAGCTTCAAGCATCTGGCTACGCCTCCTATCAAGACTGTATGACTGATGATCTCCTTGGACTTTATAAATATTGATCATTAAACTGGAAGCAGCTCAGCAAAAACTACTCTTCAGCCCCAGCTCCTGTCCTCCTGGAGGAGAAGCTGTTTTGACTCACAGTCAATACACTTTAAACTGGAATGTATCATGATGCTTAGGGATCCTTGGCTGTCCATGCTTAGATCAATATTCCAAAGCCTCCTGTGAACAAGCCAGGGACACGGTTACCTTGCCCAGGGCTTCCAGTGGGATAAGGCAATACCAGTCCTAGAACAGCCCAGAGAAATTTCTTGCAGAATTGCATGACACCTCCCTCCTCCAAGGGACCGAGCCCACAGCTTCACTTGTTTATGCCGACACATACCAGAGCAGAAGAACGGAGCTGCTGCTGCTTCTCCTCCACAGCCCACCCAGGAAAACATACCGGACAGCCTGCCGGCTTGCCCTGCTGCTGACATGTCCTTCCACCTGCTCATAAACTTTCCATTTCCATGAAGGCTTTGTCTTGCATTCGATTCCTGAGACAATTTTCTCTCTCCTGCCATGGGGGCACAGCAGGAGACAGAGACCCAAGCACAGCTGGCTGCTTCTCCCCCTCAGGCCCTGTCAAACTTCTCCACAGCATGCCCCGGCACTGCAGGCATCACCAAGGCAGGGCTCCTTAGATGTCTCAGGGAGGAGGTGATGCTATTTTTCCGCCCTTCCTCCAGGGGATCTTCAAATCCCTCGATTCTCACAGAGCAACAGTCTGTTTAATCTGAGTCTGTTTGAAGGAGGCAGCAACACAGGAAAAGAAGAGTTGGATGGAAGAAGCCCATTTTTGGGAGCTTAGTAGAAAAGATTAAAACATTCCTGTTTTCCAGCATTGATAGTGATCTTCCCCTCCACCAGCAGCTTCACTGATCTGCTCTGGCCTGCTCTGTGCTGGGCCAGGGAGGACATCACTCTCCTGTGGTTTCCCTGACCCGCAATGGGAGCAGGGACAGAGGCAGCTCTCGCCCAGTTGGAAGAGGCACCTGGCGCCTCTGACCTTTGGGAAGAGGAGCGTGAGCAGCTTGAGAAATGCATTTTTCTTTCCAGCCTGAGCTGCAGCATCCTGCCCTCAAGCGCACTCATCAGATAAAGCGCACTTTAGGCTGAAAGCAGACACAGAAACTGGTTTGAATGGGGTTAGACAGAGCGTTCACCCAGGAAGGCTTCAGTGCTCGACCATGCTCACGGTATTATTGAGTTAGCGTTAATGCAGCACATGTGGTCCAGCAGCCAGAGGAAATGGCTGGGGCCTTCCTCAGAATTGACGGCTTTATCCCTTACATTAGCACCAACCTGCTGGCAGTGGCTGGCTTTGCTTGCAGCAGTGGCCGTTCTTCCTCTTCTGGCATGCGTGCAGAGCCCTGCTTCAATTGCAGAAAAAAAAAAAAAAAAGACATTACTGATTGTACGTGCTCCTGTTCATTCAAGCCGTGCTTGTCACGACAGGGCAGTAGCAGCGTATCGTTGTTCTTTGACAACAGCCCTAACTGGCTGGAACAGAGCAGAACAGCCATCCTTTCCGAGAGCCAGAAGCTGTTAGAGAGGGCAGGAAACAATGACGGCATCTGCTCGTGTATCTTGACCTCATCAGTCCTCCTGAGGGCTGTGTGTAGTGGATGAGAGACGGAAGGCATGCCCTACCAACCACCACACCGATTCCCTCATTTGCAGGACATGCCTTACTGAATGACAAAAATTACAACCGCCATACAAACCACAATTAAATGTGTTTATTAAGTAAAACCACTACTTTATAGATGATCATGCTGGATATAGATGCAGTATCAGTGCTCTTATAGTAAAACCCAGTATTTCTTCACTTAAGCTTTAATAAACCTACAGTTTGCTTTTGCAGACTAAAAACTCAGTATAAACTACTGGTGAGTTACGAGCATGAGTAGTTGTACTGTATTCAGGATTAGTTCTCAGTTTCTGTCTTTGGCTACTTGTAAATCTACCTGCTCTTCTCCAGTGTTAACCTTGAATTCAACCAGATTACATCTAGACAAAGTTGGTACAGCACTTTTTTTCTGTTAGCTGATCACCGAGTCTGACTTACCCGCTCTGTGGCTTGATATCTAGAAGCTTGATACCAGATCTTGGAAGTCTGTCAACACAAGAGTACCATTTTAACTAGCAATACAGTATCTGTGAGACCTCCACCATCTGCCTACGCTTTCCTTGAGGAAGGAGGAAAGGAATGGAAGTACTGATCAAAAAGGGCCTCCCACAGCACCAGTGTAATGAAACATCCCTCCTGGAAGTGCAGGAGATTCCAGGAGGCATTCAGGGAAGCTCTGGTGAGAAGAAACAATGTGCAGTGGGATTTCAAATAGTCCTTCCCTCAAAGGAGAGCCTCAAATTGTTTTTTTTTCTTGAATCGAGTAAATCAAAATGATAAGCAAATAACACTCCCAACTATGCACATGACAAATTGGAAGATGACAAAGGGGAGAAGTTTCTGTTTATTTATTCCTCTTTAAAATGACGTAAAAGCAAATTTAAAACACTATTTTAAAAAAGAGGGGATTCAAAATATCAAGAGGCTGAAAATAAAACCGCAAAGGAGGCATTACAAGGTTAGCCGAACATAGAAAGCATAGTTAGTATAAAACAGATTTACAGTCTCAGTGAACAGCAAATTCATGCTGCCCATGCAAATGGAACAGCATGTAATACTGCCCCTACCCTCTGGAACACAAAATTCTTTTATTATTTTGTTTTATTGTAGTACTGGATAGGAAAACACAACAACTTTAAAAAACAACATTTTCAATTGGAAGAGAAAAAACATTAAAAATATGAAATTGCTCTGTAGGCACTGATAAATGTTTTTCTATGGTAGAAGAGTGTGCCAAAGCAGAATTCAAAATTGCATAATTCCTCTTAAAATGATACAGCCCTGGTGTGACTGCAAATAAAACCTACCTAAGCTATTTCTCTGGAACTGCCTGAATGCAGCCCTGCCCACTATGAACAGTCTGCAACACTGGTTTGGACAGGGCTAGGTGGAAGCAACAGGCAGCAATACTGGAAAATGGAGGTATCTCCTGGTAAGTCAGAGCGCTCTGAGAGCTCAGCTCCATGGAGGGCTTTCATTACACTGACAAAGAGTGACTGTGTATGCTTGCCAAGGCTTTCACTCTCTGTGTTTCAAGTTACACCTGATCTTGAGGTGCTGAGACCTAGCAAGGAGTGAATGGGAGCAAGAAAAGGTTGCTGCCTACAGGCCCGCTTAGAAATAGCCACTCCAGTGGTCAGTGGCTGCTGGCAGGAGGTCAGCTACAAGCCCTGCCTAAGTTTGCCATCAGCAGATGAGTGCTTCCCTCTCCTCTCCCCTCACTGAGCACTGGCAGCTGTAATGTTACTTACGCCCTCCTCTGCAGAGCACTCTGATCAGACTATGGAGCCCTTATGTCCTCTGAGGGCAGGGATGTGGACTTCACTAGGATCTGCAACAAAAACCAACTCAAAGCAATCAGGGGGAGGCAGCTGCTAGGGCCCTGGAGAAAGTTAAAGCAGTGCCTGTGCAGGGCACCCTGAAGCAGATTTTTACCTTGCAAGCTTACTCACTTCTGAGACATGTCCTCCCCTACCTGTCTTGGCACATGCAGCCTTCCTGCTCCCCCGCTCTGGTGAGCAAAATGCCTGAGATTAGCAGTCCCAATGCCCAGTGTCCCTGCGCACAGGGGAGGAAAGATGCGCTTCAGTCTTCTGTTTTACTAGGGAGTCTCTGGCTTAAAAAGTCACTTTTTAAAAAATGCCGTGGCAGGAAGCAGTTAATCAAACATGTCCTCAAACATGCGTTGCCCCATGGCTATGTAAACCTCTTTTTCCTCCGGTGTCATCTGGGCCACCAGCTCGGGGCGCTGGCTCACTTGGCTGTACGAGTGTGGACGCCCAGCCACTGTGACAGTGGGGTCTTCTGCCACCACCTCAAACTCTTCATCCTCCTCCTCGTCCTCCAGCCTGTACGTTGAGGTGGCCGTGGCAGGAGGGCGGGGAGGGGATTCCTCCTCCGATTCGCTTGTCTCACTCTCGGAGTCACTAGCGTTGGCACCGGAGAGAGGAGCGGCACCTCCGATGGTGACTGTTGAAGCAGAAGGTGTCTTCTTCTCGTGGATAAGCAGGGCACGCATCACCTCCTCATTATCATCCAGAGCTGCCCGGCCCTCCTCACGGTCCTGGAAGGCATCCAGATCCCGGCCACCTGAAAAGAGACACAAGGGAATGATCGTTTCCTCACAAAGAGCTGGGTGACAGCCCTGAAGGATTTCTGAACCTGTATTAATTACTGCTGCTGAGCATGCTTGGCCAAGTCACACCCGTTCTCTATACCAGCTCCTCTTCTCCTTTGAAAGACAGAGATAGTTATGGTTTTTTCTCATAACAGCAGAGCAAATATTGACATTTCCTAGGAGCTGGGAAGCCTGGAGTCACTGTGGCTCCCAGCTAGGAGCCTCGGCCAGGAGCACATCGCAAGAGAAGACAACAAATGCATGATGGGCAGGCACCTGGAAAAGACCTCCCCAGGGGGGTGTCCAACTCAGGCACCCCTCAGCTGGGCCGATGCACTTTCCTTACTGTGGAGCAGAAAGCAGTCCTTGGGACCTAAATCTGGGCTTCCAGATACCCAGGCTATGCACCTAGTGATGACACTTGTCTGAGACACAGCGAGTAGCTCGGTACTGTTTCACAGATAAACAAGCACAGGCTGTTTCCTTTTTGTCCCTTTCTTTCCAGGTTGGATGACCACAGCCTCGAGGACTTGCCGTGATGACCAAGAGCACAGGCGTTGCCAGCACAGACCATAAATACAGACCCAAAACCAGGCCCTGCCCTGCCGAGCTCCCCGTATAAGGATTAAGATGGGGAAGCAGATGAATCCTGGCACACAGCCGAGTATTCGGAAACCATAAAACAACATTCAAAGTAGCCGTGTCTGGTAAACTCCCTGGACCTCTTATTTGAAGGAGACTGCAGTTTTGCAGCTGACAGACACACAGCCTGTGCTCCTCTTTCAGTAAGTTTGGCTGTACAATAACTAGGAGGGTTTGACGTGACTTGGGTAGGCAGGGCATCTGCAGTTCAAGGATTCAGAAGGTAAAATTCTGTTGAAATACTGGCATTCTGCAGAAAACTTCTCCTAATCCTACATTTGGTGAGAGGACTGTCACTCCACCCAGCACCAATAAACCTACAGGCAGTAGGGAAAAAAAAAAAAGAAAAAACACCCAGAACAAAAAATGAAATACAGAGAACCTTATGTAAAAACAAGGCCTAAAAAGTAGGACAGACTCCCTGTGGCAAACTTTCTTGCACCTAAAGACGCTGCCTACGAACAACTGCTGGAGCTTAGGTGACAGCATTCTGCCTTCATACATTAAAGCCACTTGTCTGCTTCTCCCAGGCCTGGAACCTCATGGTTTCAGCAGCACATCCAGGCAGTTGGGGCCCAAGCCTTTCCCCCAGGGTCAAAAATACACTGGTTACTTTTTTCAACTTGAGATGAAAAAAATGCTGAGAAACAGGTGAACTAAGGAAGTAAGTTCTGCATTTGGCGCTAAAAGCCAGGGGAGTTTGTGGTCACTCCTTTCCTATGGTAAAATAAAGGCCAAAAGACCCACCCCTAACTTTATTAGACTCATGTTTTTATTGTAAATGAAGTTGTAATGGGTGATGGCTGCAACTACTATTATTAATGCACTGGCAAAATTCTTGAAAGAAAGGAAGAATGAAGGCGTTGTGTTGGCAGCCTTATGCTCAGCTTGTTGCTTGTGACTGTAGAGCATAAGAGGCTACTGGAGAGCATTTCTGTGAGATAATATCATAGCTCATCACACTGAGAACTGTGAAGCGACCACAGCCTGTGGTAGCTCCACAAAGTCTGACTTTGTGGCTCAGGAGCGGGGCTGTCTCTTGCTTGTGAGAACTGCTCCTGCCAGACCCAAGCAGTGAACCTCTCCTGTCAACAGTCCCAAGTTTCTTTCCTCCCTGTTTATGTCATCCAAGAGCTATAGAAACATGTTGCAGCATCCACTTCAGGTTATTTCCACAAGTCCCCTCTTTGATCTCCACTAGTGGTGGAGGTTAAGCTGTGATGCCATTGTGCTGTAAGCAGATATACTCCCCCTCAGTGGCATCTGAGAAACATTTATGCTATGTACACCAAAAGTCATCTCAAGGAGTCAATTTAAAACTACAGGTGAATGGAATGTCTAGCAGAAAAATGGGGTGAGAACTCACCATGGCTGGTGAGTAACACAACATCTGCTACAGCCTTATCGTGGTTTCAGCCCAGCTGGTAACAAAGCACCACGAAGCCGCACACTCATTCCTCCCCCCTGGCCCCAGTGGGATGAGGAGGAAAAAATATAAAGAAATGCTCATGGGTCGAGACAAGGACAGGGAGGGATTACTTACTGCTTATGGTCACGGGCAAAAGACAGACTCAACTTGGAGAAGAAATAAAATCAATTTGATTTACTACCAATCAAATCAAAACAAGGATACCGAGGAATAAAACCAAATCTTAAAACACCTTCCCTGCACCCCTCCCTTCTTCCCAGGCACAACTTCACTCCTGAATTCTCTACCTCCTCCTCTACAGCAGCATGGGGGGGCAGGGAATGGGGGTTGAGGTCAGTTCGTCACGCATTGTCTCTGCTGCTCCTTCCTCCTCAGGGGGAGGACTCCTCACTCGTCCCCTGTGCCAGCGTGGGGTCCTCCATGGGCTGCAGGTGGGCATCTGCTCCACCGCTCACCTCCACAGGTTGCAGGGGCATCCCCTCCTCTGGCACATCTCCTGCCCCTCCTTCTTCACTGGCCTTGCTGTCTGCATAGGTGTTTCTCTCACCTCCCACTTCCCAAACTCCACTGCAGGTTTCCATTCTTAAATACATTATCCCAGAGGTGCTACCACTATCACTGATGGGCTCGGCGTTGGCCAGAGGCAGGTCCAACTTGGAGCCGGGGAAGCTTCTAGCAGCTTCTCGCAGGAGCCACCTCTGCAGCCTCTCCCCTGCTACCAAAATCCCACCACACAAACCCAAAACAAGGCTGCAGGAGGAGGTTGTTTCAGTCACCTCACTTTGTTTAACCTATTTGGAAAAAGTTTTGGGATCTGTATGCTCGAAAGGTGTTACACACAAATGAGATCATTAGATATCTTCTGACTACTACTTCACACCCGTTTTCTTCACTTCTGCTATACCTCCATACTCCACTCCTCTCCTGAGCACTGCACTGATTCCAGGGTCTCATGCTTACACATGCAGTTCCCTTTTGCCATCTCTTCCTAGGGCACCAACAATTTCCTTCTATAATCCTCAAATGACTTGGAAGATTGCATCTATTGATTCACTCTTGTAAAAATCATAGAAGGTCTCTATTTTCTATTTGTAGTGTGTAAGCTTAAATGGCACACTTATCAAAGCAGAGTGTTTCTACTAGTGGTTACAAGATCTTCACTATTGTCTATAGACAGCCCGACCCCAACATGAATGAAAATAAAAGCAAAGATAATGAGAAACAAACAGAAAGCAGTAAAGACTCACCTGCCATGGTGACAGGCCTTCCTACTGTACTTCCAGAAGCTTTATTTCTGACATATTCTTCATATAAAACACATTTTGAAAAACAATTGGCAAGAAGGCAGCTGGGAGCACAAAAACACTGCTGGTAGATTTGGTAGGCTTCAGAGTGACTGAATGTTAACAAATGTTATTTTTCAGCAGTGACCTATTAGGTGGGCAGCTTTCTAGATGAGACTGAAAGACCTTTGTCCAAAACCAATAAACTCTCAAGGTGGAAGATGTAACAGATAATTAACATTTTAGAAGCACAAACTATTTTGTGGGTAACTCAGCTTTACTGACCTGGACTTCAATCCTGGATCTAATAAACTAGGATTTTTTTACATCTACCTACACACAGGTGCTTTGCATAGCAGAGGGGAGCAGAAAAAATCTGGAGTGTAGGGAGCAACAGTTGTACACACACAGGGGAACATATTTTTGACAGCACTCTAAGAGCATCACATAAGCAGAGCAGTACTTCTGCTCTGTCAATTTTCTTACCATCTTTGATTTCATCAGGGTCATAAGCCCCCTGCACCGTGCTCTCCCGTAGCCAAATTGGTCTCTCTCTGGCTGGCTTTCCTTCACCTGCAGACCGGTTAAGATCCTCCTGGTCCTCCATGCTGATGACAACGTTCTGGGTATACAAGTCCTCATATGATGGTCCTTTTGTAGTCCATGCTTCCCGATGGTGTCCACCTGCAATGCCAGCTGCTGTCCCTGAACCAGTACCAGCTGCACGCTCCTTGCTACATAAAAGTCAAAGAGATAAAAACACAAGCAGTCAGAACAAGCCCTTCCTCAGCCAGCATTGCAACACTTAAAACTATGATTAGTTATCTCCCACGATCTGCACTGAGAACTTGCATTCTGATCTCTAACATGTGGTGCCAGGAATTTCTACACCAGCTTGATAGTTTGGGGAACTTGGGGGGGTCTCTAATGGGAAACCCTACCTGAGGCCATGGCAACTTCCACAACAGATGCTGAAAAGAGAAGACAGCACTAAAGCTGCTGATGCACTCATGTAAGAACAAACATAAAATCTGAGAATACCCTGAAATAAAAATCACAGCAGAAAAACATAGTTGAACAGTAATCTGGTATTTGGAAAAGTCTCTTTTTGGCCTTTTCGCAGCAACACTACGCTGCATTAAAAAAAGCACTAAAGTTTAAACAGGTCAAGATGATAGGCCCAGAGACCCAGCATGCTCAGATCTGTGAACCATTGTTAATCACAGGACTTGTGAAGGATTTAACTCACCATGAAAAACACAGTTCAAACCTTTGCTTGAATTGTGAGTGACAACGCCTGTGGTAAGTCACATCTCCTGTGTTACACAGGAGATGTGTACTATCCACAGATACAGCCTTGGGAGGACTGAGAAGTCCAGGCAGAAGAGAAGAAAAGATGAGAGGGCACCTTCAAACCAGAGAACCAGGGCTGGGCAAAGGCCTTTTTGTGGTGATGATGTGTTGGAGGAGGCAAGACAGAACTGTCTTCATCGTGGAAAAGCTGGATAAAGAAAGGTGATGACTGATGCAAAGCATACGACAGTCAAAGCCTAGCCCTCCTTTTGTTTTCCAAGAGAAGCTGCAGCCAGCACATTTTTCTCCAGGCTCCTTTCTAACTCAGGAGACTGATGGAGAAAAGAAACATTCCTGCTTGGATCTGGTGGAAAGAGGACATCAGGTGGAGTATTTTCTGCGTAGCGATAGCAATAAGCCTAAAATACCGTCTCTGGCCTGTGCTGCTACAAATGCATTGATCAGGGAAAGCAGCTGAATGGAAACTCACTGCTTTCCAGGCAGGGAAAACCAAACGTGACTGTTCCTCTACTTCAAAATCATATTTCATCTTCTCAGAGAAACAGATCCTCTGCAGACTGCACCCACCCTCAGCCATAAAATTTCACTCATCTGACTGCCAGTGGTACCCAAGGCTTTTCAGAGGTAACAGACCTGCCCGGACTCCTCCTCTCGTCCAGAGCAAATCCATCATGGATACTCACAGCGTCCCTGCTTTGGTGCCAGCTGAGCTGAGAGAAGTTGTCAGTGAGCACAGTTCAGTCGCTGCTATCTACCCAAAGACCTTTCCTCTAATTGAGATGCTTAAAATAAGGTTGCAGTTGGAGAAGACCTGAGTAATATGCAATTTTTTTAATTCAGCAAGGACTTAACCACTGCTTGATGAACTAATTCTGCTGGATTTTTAGGGGTAAACAGTGAGGGGAAACTATGCAGGCAGGTGATCATCTCTTTTCCCCAAATAAAAAATATTGGCGAGTTCAGTCGCAGTTTAGATTGAGGGCTACTCACAGCCTCCCAAAAGTGAATTTGCTGGGGTCTGTTAGTAAAATACTTCACAGCATCTGTTTTAACATGTGTCCACACACTAACTGGTTCTCTCCTGCAGCCAGCCCTGCTAGGAGAACTTCACAGCAGCCTTGAATTTTGGGAAAGAAGACTCACGCACATGTATTGCTTATATAACCTAAGGAACCACACAGAGACCTTCTTTCCAGTACGTTATTTCAAGTGTTGGTACCTTTCAGCTCTCCAAGACAGGCGTGTGTTCTGTGAAAAGCACCACTCTGCTTCCCACACAATAGAAATCTCTAACTAGCGTTTCCCTGACGATTTTATGTAATCCACTTTCCTCACAAGATACACAATGCAGCTCTCCCCCAAGCTCTCCCTCCCCATGACTGCAGCGTGACAGCTAAATACTCAGTAGTGCCAGGAACTGCCTAATAATACTTTTGCACAGAGGTCCCCGTAAGTGTGCCTAAAATGGACTTTTTCCCCTATGCGGTATCATTCAGCAGCAAAACACTTATTCCATGTCAGGAACATTTCAAAAATGAAAGTAACAACTCTAAGAGACACCTACAGTACTAATTACCTTAAGCCACCTACTGCAATGTCCCACACTTAGGTGGAACCATCTAGACGCTTTCCGTCTGCTTTTGGACCTCAGTGAGCTTTGCAAACGTGCCTCGATTTACTTCTTTGCGGAACTGCATCTTCAGCGACACTGTTGGTAGGAGTGAGCAACCCTTCAAGACTACATGACCAGGGGAATACACCTTACTGCAAGAAGAGATCTTACTGTTCAGCAACCCTGTTCCAAAATACAGGATTAAACACCATGGATCCAGCACCAGCAAAAGTCCAGGTGCGCGAGCTGCTTTACAGGCAGCACAGAGCAGATGAAGGGAGTGCACTCTTAAATCTTTCTCTCTCTCTCTCAGATCCAAGTTCTGCTTTTTCCTTGCCTAGGTCTAGACTTTGCATGGCCACCCTGCAATCAGGAACTGTGGCAGCTCAGTGGCCCAGATGTGGCTACATTTGCTCAGTTACCCATCGGTTGTTTTACCCTGATGGAAATCCCTTAATGAGTGGTTAGCTGCCTTTAAAGGCGACATAAATAATCCGTGACATAGCTGAGGTATGGCCCACAGAAACCACACCGTGCAATGGGAAACAACTTGAAATTTTCATCTCAATCCTGCCCAGCCTATTAAGAAAAGGTCTTGCATAATGGGGACCATGCCGTGTTTGAAATAAAGCACTTTTTCACTTTGCTGCTCTTAAGAGCTTCAACTTCACAACAGACAACCCATGGTTCTTGATAGCATGACCACAGAACATTAATTCTGTGAAGATTTTTGTTATATTAAATCATGCTATTTTGACATAAGAAAATGGAAGGGTTATTAAAATCCATCCGTTTTCAAAAACCACAGAGAAGGGCTTAGGTAAAGCAGGTTTATTTCAAAACCTGTGGGGCTAATTCATGTCCTCCCAAGATTAAGAAAATTAACAGCCTCATAGAAGGATACGAATGAAGATCTGCCTGGTTTTCCACGGCAGGTAAATGGCAGTTATGCAATATCAGTGCGGTCGCTTAGAGCTCTAACTCTCCTGAAAACATATGAAGTCGCCTGCATTGGTGCGAAGAGATGATGCAGGCACTTTGTGACCTTTTCTGTTTGTTTCAGAATCACAAAATGTCAGTTTCCTCAATGATTTCAGACACTCAAGACTCCATAAAAATGGAAGGAATAAATAACCCAGGGTTTAGCACTTAAAAAAAAAAAATAATCTCACAGCAGCGCTTTCATGCAATTAGCTGCTTTGAATTAATAAGAGTTAATAAATAATTAAATCATCGTATGTGCTGAAGCAAGTTGTGTTCAAGTAAGCATTTAAAAAGCCGCCTATTTATTTTGTCATTCCTTGCACAAAGTAATTAATCATTTACAATGTTTTTTAAGTATTTAAGAGTCAAGTAAGTGGGTGCTGCTATTTAATCATGGGAATGCACCAGGCTTCTGCTGTGATAATTTCCTGTGCACAGAAGGGAAAGACTGAGAAATGACTCTCTTTTTGGTGCAGTTATCCCAGTTCTACTACTCAACCTACAAAAAAGGGATTTAAAGCAAAGGCTAGTGATTCAGCTTGGGCAGAAAGGCTTCAAAGACTCCCCATATCACCAAAGACATGTTGAGTGACCTTGGAAAAGTCTCTTTCCCTCTCTATATTGCTTCTGTTTTTCTATCAGAATGATGAGGAAAATTAGCTACCTTCTTGGCTAGAAAAAGACTATGAATAGGCAAAGAATTTTTAATTATATTAATTAGAAACTGTCTAGCATGAATATATGAGGAACATTCTCTCTCAAGGTTAGCCTGAGAGAAAAAAATGAGTATCTTGCTTGCTCTCCCATTAACTAAAGCCAAGCACCCCAAGGCACTGTGGGAATGCTTCCCTGCATGGTACATTCCTCCCCATGTGTTTAATTAATTTTTTTTTTAAACACAGAGAAGAGCATCACATTTCACCACAGCTGACAAAACTGACAGCTCCCCACATCTTTCTGCATTATTTAAACATAATCTGTTTTTGTACAGCTAGGAATGTTCTGAAAGAAAGTGTCATTTCCCATGGGCAGGAATATTTTAAAGAGTTTTTGACTGTAACATGGTCTTCTCCCAAAAAGGTGTGTAACAAGTAGGAGAAAATCAGAAGAAAAAAATACCCTTATTACAAGTAATGTCTTCGAACTAGAACACAAAGTGTGGAATGCAGATAGCTTATTTTCAGAAGCTGGGTAGAAGCAAAAGGAATAGATGAAAGATAAGGGTTTGAGAGAAAGAAGACGGTGTAGATGTCACCCTCAGTGCTTTGCCAAACAGCTGCAGTTTGCATTTCTTAAATACTGGGGCAAGGGCTTGGTATACATACCAGCTACAGCACAGCAAGCAGCAGGTAATTCGAGTACCCCACCCCATAGAAAACTACATACAGGAGGCTGACCAGAAGAATAGTCATCTGCCTTGTTTAGTAAAAAATGGTTATGGCCCTTTGTCTCCTTATAAACTACACATTCCTTGGGGAAACCGGTCAGTTGCTTGAATAGTTGGTACTGACCAAGTAAGCTCTCAATGCAGCCAAAGGCTGCACAAGGTTTGGGAAAGCCTCACAGAGCAGACGAATGTACTACAAGGAAACAGCGCAGTGGGAGAAGACCAGGCGCATTCCCACCTCTGCTTCAGGGCAGGAATCTCTGTGGGTTCTGGCTCGAGGATTTCATAGGCTAAGTTAACATCTTCCGTCTCACGTAGCAGCGCATAGATGGGCTCAATCTGCTCATTAAATCTTGCCACGAGTGTCCTTGCATCCTTTTTGGGCATCGCCGATTCATCTTCTTCCACTTCAGTCTCACAGAAAGTACAGCGGAAAGTTCCTAAAATGAGAAAAGTTGCTAAGCATTGGAAAGAAAGCAACAGGCCCAGCTCTTTGTACAGCCTTTGAAACAGCAATGCTTTGCTGTTTTCTTAGCTTGATGCTAAATAGCTTTTCTCCCCGACAACCCCTTCCCACACACAGTGTACCTGGTTATTATTTAAGCAGACAACAAAACAAGCATTTTGATGCCATCCAGTGATACCCAGCTGGGTACAGTTTCTCGCTCTGAAAAGCCCAGATGGGCTGCAGTACCTCTACTGAGACATCTCCTAAACTCACTCCCTCTTTCTTGCTGCACATTTTAAATGTCAGCTACGACTGGGCTGTGATAAAATGCTATACGATATATTCTTAGGAGTTCAAATATCTTCTGTTTCAGGTGCTTGCACTGATATCTGCCAGGCCACGCAAACGGGCTAATTTCAGAATGAAATAGGGTTTAGTTTCACACTGCACCAACCAGCCTGCAGTAACTGTTAGTATAACCATTTTCACTCTGCAACTAATGCAAAAAGATGGCTTCTCCTTCTGTTTCAGGGCTAAAACATGCAAAATAGTCATTACTGCAGAGCAGCAAATGAAAAAACTAATCCCACCTAACCCCCATATTAACTTCTTGATATGAAGAATGGCAAGATAAGAACTGTATGAATAGCAATTAAGAATAAGATCTTTTTACAGACCTCATCAGGATCTATAAAAACAGGTCAAACAAAGGCAACTGAAATGGTTGCATGGCAATGCAGTTACAAAAAAAAACCTTCTGAACTCCTGCACAGCAGGCTTTTCAGTTTCATCACTCCATCTGTGAGTAGGACCCTTGGGGCAGTACATGCACAGTAGGACCTTACCATATGGTCCACTACGAGGGGAGCAGCACAGTGTAATGACTTATCCTTGCAAGTGCTGGACTGAGAACATATCACTGCCTCCTCATAACACATCCAGAGCGACGCTCACAGGCTTCTCGATTTCTCTTGTGCCTGTGTGATTTTTTTATTTATCCGTTCTGTGACACCTATACACATCTAGCATCATCTCCAGTGAAGAAAGGAAAAGATCTTTTTACCAATAGGGAGCCTGAGGATAGGTCATATCAGGGAAATGATAAGCTTATGTCTAAAAATCAGAATTAGAACCAGTATTGAAGCCTGCTATATCACCGACGCTATGTACAAGCACAGCTGAAAAAATGGGGTTTGCCCAGGGCATATGGGCATGATGTAATGAGACAGGCTGGCAAGCCAGGGCTTCTGGCATCTTGCTTTGCTGCTTACACAGATTTGCTAGCCTTGTCACTTCATTTTTCAGTGTACCTCCTTCTCTGCCTGTAATACAGCAATAAAACCAGACCTAACTTCTTCACTGATGGCTGTGAGGGCTAGACAATGCTTGCACGCTTCTTGGAAAACACACAGAAGCACTGTTTATGACAGGAGGCAGACCTCTTGCCTCTCTGTAGAGATGCAGTTTTCTACTTCAGCACCATCTGAAGTAGCTTTTGCTCATCATTACTTATAAACTAATGTGAATGTGTTGTATATGTGGCCTGTAATACGTACACATTTCCTGCAGTAAACTTTCTCTTTACAAAGTTTGTCTATCTACATGTTAAAGCTAGAGCACCCAACAACAGCAGTATGCAAAGTAAAGGATAAGTGGATAAAGTGCTCTTCTCTCCCATCCAAGCATGAAACACTCTGCCTATTTTTTTCAGGCTGTAAAAATTGCCCCTACTGATTCAAAAACTGTACGTTATATAAGCTGTCAGCCTGGCAAAAACTGAAGCCAAGTTTGGTCTCCTCATCCCACATCTGAGGCTACTGGCGTGACACATTGGCAAACAAGTCGAATCAATTTAAAATAATTAGCACATCTCAGTTCCCATGATGGACTATGTGAAAAAAACACAGGTTAATGAGGAAAACTCCCCTCTTTTTACATCCCCCCCAGAAGTCCTGTTACATGTTCCTGAGACAGCTCAGACTTTTCACGCTTCCATCTGTGAACCCCATGAGTATTTGCAAAAGATTAAGATCGTAGGGAGAATGGTTCCAATTCAGAGTACCAAAAAATCAGAAAGTAAATACAGCTCTAATGAAACGGAACTCCTAAAGCTATCATGGATTTGCTGCAACTTCCACCCCTCAGGGTTCTTAATAAGCAAAAAAGAAGTTAATACATGAATTATGTAAAGAATCTGGGAATGAGTGAAATGACAAGCTTCCTCCACTTATATGCTGATTTTTTTCGAGGTGATGCAGCATTTCACAAGAGGCATACGTGATTAGAGAACTGGGAAGTTGCTTTGCCACAGCAGATGGCATTTATATGTTGCAAACCTCTTTCATTAGACTTTTAAGAGGTCACAAAATGTCACCAGAGCTTTTATGACATGGCACATCACATCAGCAGTGACATGTGTTCCTTACAGATATGAATTGCATGCGACAATCATGAAGTGGAAGCCATCCAAAGGCTGAGAATGGCAATGTTCCCACTCTGACGACGTATTTCTTCCCTCAGCCCTTACACAACTGATAGTTTTCCATTCAGATATACTGCACAAACCAGGACAAGTAGATATCCTGGAGCAAACAGGCATGAGGCTTTCCTGCATCTTGGAAATGCTAATGAAGAGCGCATACATCCCCTCTTTTCCACACATGCTCCGGCACCTCTCTGGCTGCATGTAAAAACCAGCCATCTGAAAGACATCTCCTCATCTGCTCCCAGACTCTGCAGGGCAGATACGCTGGTAATCTGGCTCCCCAAGGCATACTAAGATTAAAGCAGCTCAAGCTCTGAAGTTTAGGGCCAGAATATTTAAGAGATAATTCCTAATGACTTGATTTCACTTGAGAGAAGGAAAAGGTCAACCGCCCACACACGCTGCACGCATGATGTCCAAACGTACATGGTGCATCTGCTATAATTAACACATTTAACTGGGTACAGCCTCCTAAGTCTGAGCCCAGGTCCTGCTCACACCCTTCTCAAAGGGTTCAAGCCTCATCTCCAGCCCAACAAGGTCTCTTCCTTCCACTCTGTCCTTTGGGATACTGCCTCAGACTCTCACTACTCCGACACTTACAAACTACTTAATTTTCAACCTAAATGTATTCCCATTCATTTCAAACCTACTTAGTGTTGTGCCAAAAAAATGCACCTCAGCTCAACTAGCTTCCATCTTGCTGTTAATCCTTCAGGTATATTTACAAGCTGCTGTCTTACTCATCCCTCCAACTTCATTTTGCAATGCTTAATAAGCCACACATTTTTCTTTGCCTTTTAAGACTGGCCACCCATTCTTCTGACCATGCTATCAGCCTCATTGGGCACTTTCTCCAGTTTGCGCTCGTCTTTCTGCTGTAAAGGTGGAAGTATATACAAGTGTCCAGATGAGTTCTCCCAAAAGCCCAACGGCATTAGTCCTTCTCCAATAGCCACTGAGACCTTTTAAGATCACAGTGTAACAGATCATGAAAGTGCTGCCTCAATTATCACAACATCTAGCAATACTCCCAGATCTTCTTCCTCCTTTGTAGTTTTCAGCTGATGAACTCCACATTTATAGGAAGCATTTGCATTAGATGCTAGGTGCACGACACTGTACTTTATACTATAATCTTTCAGCTCCTTTTGATTCCTCCAACTTTCATCCTCATCCAATTCTTTATTCTTGACTGCGTCACAAAACATTAAACTAATTTATTTTCAAAATCTCCCACAACTTTCTTTTAGAAGTAGCATTATTACCATTACATGGAGAGTGAGCTAAGGCACAGATGGCACAATTTCAGAAGTATCTGCTGATTTGAGCAGTACTTGATTTGAGATGCCTAAGAAATACTTTTCTGCAACTTCTGTTTCAGAAAAGCGCGTGCAGTATTTTTAATAATCTTCTTCCAGGCTCTAGAATCAGGCATCTTAAATGAGTTAGGTACAACAGCTAATGATAGTCTTTGAAAAGTTTAGCTCAGAATGACTAGTCCAACACCACACAGAAACTCAGCTGGCCTGGAAGATCAGATCATGTTTCTGTGGCTACTACAGCCATTTTCTTCAAGTAATTCCCTGACTCTCACACTGCATGTTTTCCCTTCTTCTGCAGCAAGCCAGACAAAAAGTACATTACATGCAGACAGCTCCTCTCTCTCGCTGAGCAAAGCATGTGTTTTGTGGGGGGGGAAAAAAAAAGTTATGTCACAAAGAAAAAGTTACAGGATGCATAAGCGACTTTAATTTCAGCACTCCCTAACCCTGAGCACTTCATTTGATGTTAAAAAGAGAGCATTAAGGCCCTGAGGAAAGGACAGGAGTTTCCCACCAACGGGAAGACGGACAAATGCCTCCCGCCACGTGATGTTGTGCCGACAGCCATATGGTTAATCTGCAGACCTAGAGCCCTCAGTTCCGCACTGGCCTCCGCCATTTGACTCCACGAAGAGAAGGTGACAACCTGCTAGTGCTGCAGAGGGAGCAGGACGCCTTGCCAGCTTGCTTCCTGGCAAAAAACAGGAGGATGAGAAGGGAACACCTTGGGTCCTGCTCTAGCTTCTTGAAAGAGATGTGCTTTGTGGGAACTGCTATCCTACCTGCTAGACCCAAGCCTGAGGTTTCCTTCCCAGCTCTTCCCATCTGCTCCCATCCTAGTTCCTGGCTTTTCCCCACTCTGATGGTCCTATTCTCTTTGCTAGCAAGTCTTGGTCTATCTAGTCCTGCTTTCTCAGACTGGGTTTCTCAGACTGCTCTGTCCATCCTTCTTTTTTCCTGGGCTGCTTTTTCTAATCCCAGCCTCTCCCCACTCCTGCGCCTCTCTGTCCCATGCTCTTTGAGCAGCTAATTCTGTTTCTTAATTTGAGCCCTGGTCATCAGATTAATTTCCTGTTTCAAGCCAGAGAGATGGAATATCTTTTCACAGCACAACCTGTCATTCAGAACAATGTAACACAGGCAAAAATATACATTTCTCCGGTCTCCTCTTACATTTTCTCA